TCCTGACTGAGTCAGGGTGGCAGTCTCATCAGGGGGTGATTCCCTGGAAGGTATAGAACAATGACTGAAAATTCCTAGATGCTTCTCCAGGGATCTGAAAGAGGGTGTTGTAAAAGCTAACAGTCAAATGTTCCTGAACATCTCATTTCAATCTTGAAGGGGAACCAGATAGGTAAGTTTAGGGCTAATAAACTGTACTACTAGCTTTTATGTGACCACTCCTTAAATGATTAACATGTGTGTGTGTAGAGCCGAGCAAGTCAAAAAGTTTAAGGTAATAAAGGAGACAGATTTAAAAAATGGAGTTGCATTGAAACAGACTGAATTTGGGGGGCCCCATCTGAAATTGGAAATGGCTTCCTTATGCTGAGAGTGGAGGCTTCAGGGAGTGGTGGGGCTGGGACCCCCCACCCTGAAAGGCTCCAAAGAAGATGGGGATGGAGATTTCCCAGTCGGGCCTATCTGAGGCAGGCCAACTCCATCTGCATAGATGCATGTTCTGCCTTTTGTCTCACTTCCTGGCCACTGTCTCTTCTCCCCTGACTTCTCTCCTTCAAAGGTTTGGCTCAATCTCAGGAATTTTGGAGATAGAACCTTTGAAACAAGCTTCTTCTATCTTCCTTCAAAGGTGGTTTGGAATGAAACCTATTTTCCTATGAATTTGACTGAATATTTCTGAAGCAGTGAGCATTATGGCCCAGCCTCTTTCTCCCTGAGCAGCATTAGAGCTGCCCAGTAACAGTATCCTGCTTTTAGTTACTCACTGGGTATCTGCAGACCTAAATGGAGTCCCTGCTTCCCCACTGTGGCCACTGCAACCCCAAGATAAGTCTCATTCATTTCTCTAGAAAATGGTGGTCTCTGTATAGAAAATAGAAAATTGGCTGCAGTTCCAGACTGGGTGGTGGCGGGGGGGGGGGGGGGCAGGGGTCTAGACTAATTAGATCCAGATTAACTCATAATTCCTTCTCTTATGGAACAGGGAGTTCTGGACTCTTCAACCCCAGATGAACTCATCATATCTATCTAGTCTAGTTTCTTTCTGACCAAACATTTAAGACATCTCTATAAGATCCAATCTTATTCCTAACAAACCCATTTTAGTTCCTGTCTGACTTGCTCAGCCACCACAAACTCCAAGGGTCATATGATCTCTCCCAGCACAAATTAACCATGGACTTGGGCTCAAGGCACAAAAAGGAATCTTTTATTCATGATTATAAAATCAACTTCCAAACCAAAAATTTGCTCAAACAAACTCTGTTTAAAACAAAATCTGGGTAGTTTCAGAATCCTAAAGAGAATTTACCCATGATCCCTAGATATAGCAGGAAAACAGTGAGCATCTTGGACTCAGTAGTTACCTATCTCTGGCTATCGTGCTCCTGAGAAGCCCCTGGAGATCTGCTTTGGATTCTGCTGACTAGCAAAATCTGTTAAAAGAAAAAATCCCTAGGCTTTTAAATTTTAGTAGAGCTTATTTGAGCAATTATATACAAAACAGAACAAGTAGAAGAGAACAAAAAATTCATAAATCAGATAAACTCTGGAACAAAAGCAGGTCCAGAGAAATCCAACTAGTAACATGATCTGATAGCATTTATAGAAAATGGAAGGAAGTGTGTCATAGAAACAACTTAATTGTTTCCAGTTTAATTGATTAATTGGCTATGGAGTCTCCTGCATTTAACTAATGCTCAGCTGTTGCAATGACACTCCACATTGGTTTAGTCTCTTGATACCTAGTGCAAAAGCCTAGTCCAAATCAACTGCCTCCCACAAATTTGATGTAAGTTTTAATAGTCCTTTATATATTCTAGTACCCTGTGCTAAATCATCTATCATATGATTTGCAAATGTCTTCTTGCATTCTTTTCTCAATGCTAACCTTTGAAGCACAAAATAAGTTGTTTTTTTTTTTTCATTTTGAGGAAATCAAATTTGTTCATTTTTTTCTTTTTCTCATATTTTTGGTGTCATATTTAAGCTAGTTCAAACACACAGTGATTTGTAGCAATATTTTCTTCTAAGATTTTTATAGTTGAAGCTTTTACAGTTAGGTCTTTGGTCCATCTTGAGTTGTTTTTATAATGGTGTGAGGTGAAGGAATGCATTTATTCTTTTGCTCCAATTGTTCCAAGCACCATTTGTTAAATTCCTCCCACTATTGAAATTTTCTTGGCACCCTTGTCAAAAGTCAATTGATTAGACATTTTAGGGTTTATTTTGAGGCTTTTGATTCTATTTCATTGATCTGTATCCCTATTCTAATATCCCACTGTCTTGGTTATTTTTATAATAATTTTGAAATTGGAAAGTATAAACTCTCTACCTTTGTTTTCCTCTTTCAAAATTATTTTAGCTATTCTGAATTTTGAATTTCCCCATAAAGATTAGGATCAGCTGATCATTTTCTACATAGAAGTTAGGACTTTGATAGAGATTGCATTAAATCTGTGGGCCAATTTAGGGAGATTGCCACCTTAACAATATTAAGTCTGCCAATCCATAAACTGAGGATGTATTTCCATTTATTTAGGTCTTCTTTAACTTCTTTTAATAATAGAGATTCACAATGGATGTGCAACTGATGTGATCCTGCAATCTGTATATGGGGTAAAAATGGGAGCTCATAACCCACTTGAATCAAATTGTGAAATATGATATGATATATCAAGAACTATGTAATGTTTTGAACAGCCAACAATAAAAAAATAAAAAAAAAAAATAATAGAGATTCAAAGAATATATCATATCTTTTTGTTAAATGTATTCCTAAATGTTTAATTCTTTTTGATACTATTGTAAATGGCATTGTTTTTTAAATTTCATTTATTTGCTCATTTATGCTTCACAGAAAGACAGTTGAGTTTGCATTACAACTTTGTATCCTGCCACAAATTTGCTAAACTCATTTAGTAGTTATTATAGTTTTTAAATGGATTTCTTAGGATTTTGAACATACAAGATGATATCATCTACACAATAGTATTATTTTCTTTTTCGATTCTGGATGCCTTTTCTCTCTCTCTCTCTCTCTCTCTCTCTCTCTCTCTCTCTCTCTCTCT